ATGTATACTTTGATTTATTGATTCCTAATTATTTTTTGATATTCAAATATATAAAATAATAGTGATATAGTAAATAATAATATAAATCTAATATTTAAGAATATCAATAGTAAATTAAATAATAATAAATTAACTTCTTTTATTTTGATTAATTCGAATATTATTCTTTTTTAATATATTTATTATAAGAAAATATTAAAAATAATATTTCTTATAACAATTTCTAAAAGTATTTTCTAGAATTAATTCAAAATAGATTTTTAAAAGCAATATCAAAACAGATAGAATGAATCAATTGAATCTATGTATTTCAATATCCCAGCTAAATGTGAGTCAATTAGCGTTTTACACAACTTATCCATATAACCACTGTATACGCGTACTTGGCGGAAGTGGATCACCTAAGTGAGAACTTTGCAACGGTACAGTATGATTGGTTGATCTATCCCGATGTACTGAAATGACTACGAGTGGGTACTCCGTAACCTTATACGACTACAAATGGACATATAAGAACAGTGGCTCACTCTGGACGAAATAAACGGCACACCGAAGAAACCACAGTATTATTCCAGAATTAAATAACAATTCGAAAAAATGAAATAAAATAAATAAACTAAAGATGTATTATAGTTTACAAGATTTTGAATAGAAATTTTTCAATTTAAATTCAAAATATTGATTTTTGATTTAAATAAATAATTTCGGAAATGATACTGTTTTTTTTCGGTGTGTCGTTTAATTCGTCCAGAGTGAGAGTGGATCCTTAGATGATTAAGGCGAGATGTTATTTTCAAAAATGAACGCGGGGTTCAGGACGGTGCTTGAGCGTCGATCCACTGAAATATTCGGCGTGAGAGAAGGCTCGAGAGGCTGAGACTCTGTGAGGGCTCGGAGGGGTACGATAACCGATTTTGGGGGGATGCCATGGATCTACCAATCCGTATCCGCGTATTCACTTCCACTACCGACATTTTACCATGTCCATGTCCATGTCCATGTCAGGGTGAGAATAAGATGTTCTACGAAGTACTCGTATGGACGGCGTGGAATTAGATGCCAAGGGGAACCCACTTACCCTAATATGCAGAACGGTGTGATCGTGGCACAGCCAATTCAAAGCTAGAGAACTCTAACCTTAAATCCCAAAATGAGAAGATGGCAAAATGTGATTTTTCAGTCATCTTTCAATCTCCTCAAAGTTCCCATAACATCGATACAATGAGGTGTCGAATGTACACAATTAGAACTTCATAAATTTCGACCTTCCGATAATTCTCGAGTGGACGAATCTTCAGTTCCGACGAGTTACTCATTAATTGTTCCTCGCTCACAACTACCACCATGGATATGAACGAGCGACGATCCAGCATTTCTGGGCGCATTCGTAATACATCCGTCTCATTAGCAGATGCAGCTCTAAATTTTAATCCTCAATTGGGGATGTGGGCAGCAACCGGTACCGCCATAGCCTATGCTCCAACGTTGGAAGAACTCCGAGAGCCCATTTCCGGAGGCGCAAATATCGAATTCAATGAACATGGTCACTCTACGCGTACCGTCACGACAGACTTAAATGGTGAACCAGTCCTCGCAAAAGCTTCATCGCGTACACAAACCCGTCGATTGAGTAATGCCCAAGTTTTAAATCCTGTACCAGTGGTGGGCCATGAGAATTCCAATATCGTACTCGAAACTGAACCTAAATTTGTGAAACCTTCATTAAAGACTCGAACAACAGTCATTGAAGAAGAAAGACATGGTTGGGGCCCTGCCGTTAAACATGGTTTTGCTGCATTTTGGAAATTCGCAACAACGCCTACTGGTTTCTTGATGACGATATATGGATTGAATATTGTGGCATGGGGAGCTATGCTTTTCTTCTTACTGCTAGATGCCGCTCCAGCAATGGATCATCCGGATAAAGATTCTAATGATTCACCTAGGAAGAAATGGTTGGAAATTGATTCCCAGATTTTAAACGCTTTATTTTGCGTCACTGGATTTGGCTTGGCTCCCTGGCGATTTAGAGATTTATGGAATTTGTTGCAGGTGAGATTTGGGAAGAATAAGAAAGCAATGAAGAGGTTGGCAAAGCAAAATGAAAGTTGGTTTAGACCTGAGGCTTGGTATACAGATTCGCTCAGGAATGAGAATGAAGAGAATGGTGTTTCTATTCCAACCACTTTCACTGGGGAAGTCGCACCTCCTACTAGCTTATGGAAACTAAGCTTTGTGGTTTGGATGATGGTTTTGAATACTTTATTTCAAGGAGTGTTGGCTGGATTCATGTGGGGATACAACAGAATCAATAGACCGTCATGGGCGACTGGTACATTTATTGCCTGTGGGTGCGCTGTTAGCTTATTCGCAGGAATTATGATGTGGTGGGAGGGGAGGAAGGTCAAGAAGATTGAAGGCCCAGTAATCAAGGTTATAGACCCGGATGAGAAAGAGACAGAGTTGGAGGATCAGTCAAACAAATGAAACTCCTTAGACGACTTCTTATATTTATTTCTCTATTATTATATTCCTTCCTGGCTCTATTAGTTGTTGGTGTGGAAGTTTCCAAGCCATCAATGCCGCTCTCTTCTATGTAAGTCATGGCAGTCATGAACCGTTCATAGACTGTATCGAGAGTTCCATAGTCCACTGCCCAGATTAATTCCTCCAATTCAAACTCCAATTATTCCAAACTCACGATTTCTTTTTGTTTCCTATGCCGTCGCTTGATACCTCATGTAATACAAGTCGCTTCTGAAAGTTCCATACCAAAACTCCATTCTTTATGAATCTCCTCGTGAGCAATGATCACAAAATTCTATTCATCAAGGCTCATTAACTTCCTCCAACTTTGAGGCATAGCATCAAAATCCACATTAATATGTGGACGTTTCTTTTCTATCCTCTTCTGCAATCTTCCTTGCTTTCCTATAGCCTCATCCTCCTCTGGCCAATACCCCACCAAATCATACATATCCGCATTATGAAATTGTATTATATCCTTATCTTGCAATGTTTCGACGTGGATATTCTCCTCATTATTACTTTGCATATATGGATATCCTGCCAACTGCCATGCCATATGCAAAAATCCAATATCATATTCAACTTTGCGCTTTAAGCTTGAGAGTTCGAACCAGGGAAATTCCATCAAATACTTACGGCGAAGTGCAATGCGAGCTCTTTTGTAAAGGCCATCTATGATCCATGACCCTTCAATGTAATCATTTGGGTCCGCAGAAATGATTGGCTTATCGCTGGACTGATAAGTTGTTACATCCCAATCACCTGAAAACGCTGCGAACGACAATCCATTAGGACAATAAAATTGTTTAATATGTTGATCAAGTAACCATCCTCCATTTCTCCAACGACATTGTTGAGCTAGTATTTAAAAATCCTTTTGTACTTTCGTACGTACAGATTTCTGCGCACCACCATTCAAAAGCCAAGGCCAGCTATACATGTACCAGCCATAGATTTCACTGCAAACTTTTGTGAATTGCATTTCGTGGGTTGTAACATGAAGAGAGTGAGATCCGTATTCGAGAGGGTATATATCACCACTGGCTAATATTCGAGGTAGCTCAATGGCCGGTCTTATGATGTACGGCGTTGTCTTTTTTGGCTTTGGAGAAATGGCTATGGAGGGAGCGGTAACTCTGTTGGCAACATTAGGTGCAAAACGAGCTGTGAGAATGGTATAACATAATCCACTTGTAAAATCCCTTAACTTTTGAATCCCGAAAGCATTGTGGACTTTTTCGATGACAGCCTTGCCTGAGTAACGACGTATTGGCATGACACTAGATACGGTTGGCAAATGAGAAGTATTGAATGGATCCTGGTTTGGTGGAGGTAATAGGATGTAGTACCGAAGATTTTGCTTATCGTCGATTAGGATATGTAGATCAAGAGAGAATGGCCGAATTTCTGGGAGTGAAGGATGATGCCATGGTGATGTTTGAGAAACTTTATACTTGGTCGTGCGATTCTCCGTCGACGAATTGCATATAGTGATTTCAATATCTTGTGGAGCTGATGAAGAATAGATACCATGAAACGGTGGCATATTTGAAGCAGTGTAATATATTTACTTTCTCGTGTTGAAATGTAGGCGTAAGCAACGTCGAAGTAGATATAAAGCGTGTCGGGAAATTTCTAATATTCCAATTGAAATTTGATGATAACGTACTCTCTGAGACTTCAAAGTCATAGGGTACCATCGAGTTCTCCTACTGAAGCTTCTTGGAGGAATTTTCGATCGGAAAGGTTGAAAAGGCTATTGTAAGTGATCGGCGACCACAACGCAAAAAAGGGTTGAATGGAGAGTCGTTATATGTAAATAGGTAGTGAGTTTGAATCTAAGAGGGTACAAGAGTCTTTTTGATAGAATATATCCTTGTGCCAACCTTGCATTTACCAAAGATCTTAGGAAGATAAGAGCTTACCAGAAAAATAGCTGGTAATCATGTGAAGCCTGGACTTGTGCGAATGATTATAGAATTGATAATAATTATTCACACACTTTTTTTGTGTGGGTTCGAGTCTCTGACTCTCCGGATAGTGAACTCACGAATATGATTGGGTTGAAACATCAGATGTAATGAATCTTTGAAAGTCTGAATTCGGGTCATAAATCTCAGATGATATATGAGATGAAAATAAGAAAGTAAATACGCTGGGAAACAATTCAATGAATCAGCATACCTAGGTAGGTCAACAATATTAGACTACATACATACCTACATACCGAAATGCTTCAATCACGTTCTGATACCCAAGAAAAAATCTTTGAGTCCTCCTTGATCTCAAGGGTAAATCTGCTGCGGTTGCGCTGAGTTCGTCTGATCAAATTAAATGACTTATATCACTTCAACAATGGAGCATTGCCTTCGGAAAAGGAATAAAAAAAGTAAAGCAATAGGGACCTAAAATGAGACCCGAATATTGCTATGAGAGATAGAAAGATATATGAAGCATGTATATAGCGATTTGACTTTCCTCCCTAAACCTAATCTTTCCCAAATCTAACCTTCGTACTTTTACTCAAAACCAAAACTGGCAGTGGCTTGATTTCCCAACATCCTCTTATAAACTCTTTATGATGTTGCCCAACGCTCTTTCCAAGCAACTTTTCGTTAACACCTACATTTTTTTACCTCTTTCAATATCCCCCCAACACTTTTTCCACCTTTTACTCCTCTCCACTCTACTACTGTTGGGCAAAATTTGGAAGACCCAGATATAACTTCCAATGTTCCATGATTACCCAAACAAAATGTAGTTCCCCTCTTTAATTCGTGTGCATTCCAGATAGTCTTCTTACTATTGTCCACCTTTTCTTGCTTGAGCTTTGCAGAACAATTGGAAAGTAGTGATTCATTAATTTGTAGAGAGGTTTGTAAAACAGGGTATCCTTTGGTTTTCGCTGCAAGGGTGCAACATCGTCCGAATCCATCTTGGTCGTGAAAATCAAGACATTCCTTTCCAACAACTACCATGGTTAATGATTCTTCAGAGTCCCCCAGAAATCCCGCCCATATATGTTCGGATCGAAATAATGTAACGATCCATTCCTCAAAAAACTTGCAAGTGTCCAAGTCCAGTGAGATTAGACTATTCGGCGGGGTTGGAAGTCCGATGGCAATGTTATTTTGTACTGGTGATTGAACTTCGCCGCCAGTAATATTACTTTTGATCGAGTCGGGCTGTCCAATAGAATCATCATCATCCTCACCATCTGAATCCCCCTCTGCATCAAAAGATTCAACCCAAAAGGCACTTAATTCTTGACTATCCTCATCAATGCCCGTCTCTTCTAGTGCATCCAAACATTTGGAAATTGCATCACCAATATTTGTCTGCAAATCTTTATGTGCCTTCCAAAATTTTCGAAATGACTTTGGGCAGCGTAATGCTTTAAGGTATGAAGACTCACAGACACCACTATCCCATGTAAAGGAAATGGCACGAAGGTAATTAACCATAGTAGCAGACGTGAAAACGTTTAACAATCGACGATGACGAGCATTGCGAGAACAGAGGGATACCTCAACTCCAGAGTAAGCTTCAAGATCAAGAGGATTTCGTAAACCATGACGCCATCGCTCCACTAAGACATCCTTCATTGTATGCCCAATTCTCCGTTTGTAAGTTACTTGTCCTGCTCCAAAGATTTCAATTTGTCAAAGTAGGCCTTTGGGTTTGTTATTCGTTCTTTTGCTGAAGCAGAAAGTTCTGGATCATCCGGAAGGTCGTCGGAATTGTAGTCTGTGTCGTTTGTGTCAGATTCGATACGTGGTTGGTGAGTGTTGTAAACTAGGGGACTTTCCTCATTCATCATTTTATTGGCATGATATCCCGTGTTATTGAGGCTCTTGCATTTTGGGATGGGCTTTCCTTCACGATGATTTGTAGATTTACCATCTCGGCTCGCATTTTGGTAGGCCATCTCAACGACTTTAAGATCATGATGCTCTAAAGGACACTATAAAAGACGTAGTTAGACAGCTACAGGATACTGGACTGAGAATGCGAGCCAGGGAAAAATGGCTAGGAAAGAACTAAGAACTATGACATACTTTGACGTTGCGTTCCTGACAGTTTTCACAAGGCCCCAAATGCCGAATCAAAGCAGTCCTTGCTCTCGGTACAGAGAGGAACTTTTCAACGGGTATAGGTTTTTTCTTGATTTTAGCTGCGCTTAAAGATGATCCTTCATCCTTTACGAGCCATGCTGGCTCATGCGAAGGACTTTTCAATTCATATCCATCACAGACACGTCCAAAGTTTTGACATCGCGTGCAACCTGGCTTAGTTTCGTCGCACTTGACTCGCCTGAGTCTATTATTACACATTAGCCCCAAAGATACGTAGCAGTTGTTTTGTCAAAGCATACTTGCAAGTGTTGCATCCGTTCTTGGGCTTCATACTTTCGAAGGACGAATTGCACGATCGAAGTCCTATTTTCAACAGCTTAAAGCATCATTAGCCGTCAAAGACTGCCGGCCATATTGCGGTAATCAATTGAGTCACTATTCTTACCCTCAGAAATTTGGCGAAAAGAAAAGGAAGTTCAACAATACTCACGATCACTCAATCTCATCATTCCACGACACTCAAAATATTAGTAGGGATAGAGCCGAACAAGATATCGCAAAAGAGACTGTGCTGTCAAAGATAAATGATTGAAGGTGGGGAATGTGATAACGCCCAGACTCAGCCTCAATCTACATGCATGATCTATACAAAGTTGTCAGCAAATGGCACGGAAATTAGCCTGGCCCCCAAATGAGAGGGTTGGTTTGAACAGACGGCTATTGGCTGTACCTTTTCAGGTTGTATGTAGCAATACTCGATATGATATTGGAAAGGACAAGAATCAAGTGCTAAGCAGCAGAACCGATATTTAATATGCAAATATGGATATTCAAACTGTAGAAATATTCCGGAACCTGAAGTCCTTGTTCGATGATTCAAAATCAAAAGAAATTGCTGTAGTAATTCATCCACTGCCAGTGATGCACAAAACTCTTTTGTGTGACCATCACTTCCTTCTGAATTCGACAGGAAATTTCAAACAGACCAAGCGATACATATGTATCACTTCACCACATGAGATAAAAAACACAGCTTGGGTTCTTAGGTATACTGCGAAGCTCTGACAGACTTGGTAAAGTGTACTGGTACAATCTTCACCCATTGGATAATTAGCACTTTTGGTTCACATGCCAAAAGAGCTGTTATAAGACGGGTTGATAACTTGACCATAAAGGCAATGTTCAGGTAAATAAGCCTTGTATTAACATAATGCACAGACAGAGCCAAGACTGAGGAGAGCTATCAAAGTAGCAAACAGACGACGTGTGAAATCCATAATGTTGATTGGAATAACTGATAGAATGGCCCACAATGATGATTTACCTGATGCAGTAAATTTATAGCTAGGTAGTGATAATGTTGTAAGATTATGTATGACGTTGTGATAATGTAATGTGATAGTGTAGTGTTTGATGAGGGAAAAAAAAGGGGTTTAATCACAAGAGGCGCAAACAATTGATCTCGAGAAAGCGAAGCATGAAATAAGAGTGAATATCAAGGGATGTTCTCTGATTAGCAAAGGAACTACCTTATTGGGTCGAAGATCAGAAATCAGCAATGCCTTTCATGAAAAGCGAGCGAAAGTCACCAAAACGCATTTGTGGTTCTTGTCAAAGGAGTCGTGATCCTTGACTCGAGGGATGTGAATGAAGCAACAGGGTTACGTCAAGCAATAATTTGCATTTTTGACTGTAGAGGGTATCGTGGATTAAAGATATCTACATGTAGCCAAAAGGAAACAATGTATCAAGGATCGGATAAGATTTAGAAGATGTTGATGTATAATCAACTAGACGCGAACCACCAATATTGAGTAGTTTCGGCATTTCAAGGTGATGTCTGGAACTCCAGTATCTCTGACTTCACTTCTCTACATCCCCTCCATTCAAATGTCCCAAGAGGCCTTTTTTAGAGACATTCATAGCACGTTGTATCTCCGCTTCTTCATCTCTTAGTCTACCCTTTCCGAACTCCAAAGCTCTTTGCTGTTTCCGTTTCTCTTCGGCTACTCTTCTTTCTCTTTCCTCTAATGCCTTCTGCCTTCTTTTCTTTTCCAAGTTTTGCCTGGTGACTTCCTCACTTTCTTCTACAGTAGCGATTTCAGGTGGTGGCGGCAAAGTGGTGATGAAAGCTTCAATCAGAGGATCTCTTAAGGCTGCATCCAGCGAAATATATCGTATGTCCCCAAGGATTGTTGCCGGCAAATGAGAGATAAGAGTCGCGTTGTTCAAGGCAGATGGAGATTGAGACTTCAGGAGTGTGGAAAGGTCGGATTTTAGATTCGATTGTGGAAGTTTCAGTCGATTGATGTGCTCTCTGTAAAACTTTTCCCGGTCTTTATCTAATAATGATGGGTCTCTCATTTCCGCTTCCTTTTTGTATTTCCGTTTGAACTCTGGCCAATATAATTTGGGAGTTGCGTGTTTTTGCAAGAACGCCAAGTATGGAATCTTGGGATCTTTCCTCTCTTCTTTGGCTCGTAGTTCTCGAAGTTGTGCAATCTTTTCTTTTGACCATTCGTCCCATACTTCCCGTCGCGATTTCATATTCGTGAGAGCTGTGTAACGAGTATCCTCCACAATTTTTCCATCCTCAATCAATTTCTCCCACGGCCAGTATGGATTTATACCAAATTCATTGAGCAAATCTTTAAAAAGAGCTGCCGAATCTTCCAATGACAATTCCAATCCCTCTGCGCCCGGTTCCCAGTCATCCATATTGCCATCATCATATTCTCCAGGGTCTAATCCGTATTCTTGTCCCATGGCTGCGAGCTGGTATGCGATATCATCTTCATTGAACTCAACAGGTTCGTCAGGATTGAGTTCTTCGGTTCTTTGACGTTTCGAAGGATTTTCCATGTCCTCATCGTTTTCTCCTTCATAATCTGTCACCTCCACTTCTTCATATTCAGAGCTGTCTTCTCCATCATGCTGTGAAACCTCAGCAGCCGTATCGCTGATCCCTGGCCTTTGCGCAGGCCTAGAAACTTTGGAATTGTCTTCGGTATTCTGGTCCTTCGAAAGTGAATCTGCCTTTTCTTGTATTCTCAACTGATCCAGCTTCAAAATGCCATCCTTGAGTTTATCTGGTATCCGCCAAAAACTTTGATCCTTCTCAGTATTATAAACAAACCTCCTTCCATATTTAGTATGTACAAGAATCCAAGGTTCGCATCCTGGAATGGGAAAACGCGACTTTGGCTTGTCATTTGGCTGCGGTCGATTCTCCCGTGAACGTTCATGACCACCTCTACCTCCTCGGTGACCCTGTGAGCCACCTCTACCACCTTGAGTATGCCCATGATCTCGAGAAGGAAGACTGTCGAAATTCGGTCCAGCACTTGGTATTGAATTCCCAACAGACTGATATTGAAGAAAGTTTTGAATTGGATCTGGAACAGGTTGTTGTGGTATCACGATTGGTGCCGGTCGCGTATATGTAGATTGTTTTGTTTCAGCATTGTAGTAGTAAGAATGCCCTTTGCAAATTAGCTATGATACGTCTAGAAAAAAATAGTTCTTACCTGTGGGAGCTTTATGCTCAGTCCATCCCGGTGGTAAAGGAGGTGGAAGGGTTGGTTTGTGAGTTGATTTCAACATTCTTTTGGCATAAAAGTTATATGAAATTGTTTAAGTTAATACTATTACCTAGTATCTCATCGATTCTCGTCGTTGTGAAAACGAAAATTTATTCGGCGCATTGGAAAGAAGAATGACATCGACACAAAATGATTCGAATGACATGTGAGGCTAAAATGAGCGTGAGGCTGGTATACGAGGCTGTAAGGCCAACACAATCCGGCGCTAAGCTCCGCACTACTACGCGTGGTTCGGGTCGTGCCTGGAGCTCCAATATGAGGTTCAAGTTGAGCTTGGAGATATAATAACATCGCTGTCAACGAAAAGAGGTTATTTTAACTTCATTATTCTACAACAATATCGAAGATTGGGCGTATTTATTTCTCGTCTTTTTCTTCAAGATACCCCTTCTTTAAAGCAAATAAATATCCATCTCGATAAATCGCAATCATGTCCAGAAGATACGATTCAAGAGTAGGCTCCAAATAACCTACAGCTCCAGATACCTAGCTGACTTTTACGAAGACGACTATCTTCTCCCCAGAAGGACGTCTCTACCAAGTCGAATATGCTCTCGAGGCAATCTCTCATGCAGGAACAGCATTGGGAATATTAGCAAAGGATGGAATCGTATTAGCAGCAGAAAGAAAGGTTACTAGCAAGTTATTGGAGCAAGATACTTCAGCTGAGAAGCTTTACATCTTGAACGAGTATGTCAAATCATTGTTTGGATTTCATTATAGAATCTTCTGACATATTTTTAGCAATATGATCTGCGCAGTTGCAGGTATGACAGCTGATGCCAACATCCTCATCAATTACGCCCGCCAAGCTGCTCAACGATATCTCCTTACCTACAACGAAGATATCCCTTGCGAACAACTTGTACGTCGACTATGTGATTTGAAACAAGGTTATACTCAGCATGGTGGTCTTCGTCCCTTCGGTGTTTCATTCATCTATGCAGGTTACGACCCACAGAGAGAGTTCCAATTATACCAGAGCAATCCTAGTGGTAACTATGGAGGATGGAAGGCTACAAGTGTTGGTGCAAATAACGCTAGTGCTCAAAGTCTGTTGAAGCAGGACTACAAGGAGGACTGTGATTTGAAGGAGGCTTGTGGAATGGCGGTCAAGGTTTTGAGCAAGACTATGGATTCTACAAAGTTGAGCAGTGAGAAGAGTAAGTAAATTTGACTTGATTTGGAAGTTATTTACTAACGTCGATACAGTTGAGTTTGCGACAGTAGGAAAGAACAAGGATGGCACCATTTACCATCACCTCTGGGGTGCTGATGAGATTACGACATTATTGAAGGAACATGATTTAGCTAAGGATGAGACTGGACCAGATGGAGATCGAATAATCAGTTAGATATTTCTTAATGGTCTAAACTCAGGGACTGTGTAACAACAATAAATATCTCGTCAGCAGATTGCGATGCCAGATCAATGAACTACAAGATTATGTTTTATAACCTTTGACACTAGTGACCTTTCCTCCCTCATTGCTGGTCCATATTCCTTCCAACTTTTTCCTATATTCATGCAATTTATTCAATTCCAATTGTAACTTCTCATCTGGTGAGGTGTCTTTAGGGACATTTGCGAAATTTGATTTTGCGTTTCTTGCCATTTTTGGGCCATACTTGATCTTTTTGTTGTCCAGGGCCTTTTCCAGGGCGTTGATATTGCTTCTCACTTTCGTATCGTTATCCTTCTTTTCCTTACTGGTCCCTCCTTTCCCTTTTTTCTCATTCTTGTTTTGCTGTTTATTATTATTGTCGTATGTTGATTTAGGGATGATCTGATCTCCATAAGGCTGGTACGCAGGGCGTGGGGGTAGCATCTTTCCTGGATATGCAGGTGGAGGCGCAATTTCAGATGGTCGTGTTAATTCGGCCTCACAAGCTACCTGTATTCCATGTGCTTGACTCATCTCATTGGACATATATCGAGCCAAATCAGTATTATCTCGAGGGATCAAGTGCCAGTAATTATTTGTCGTTTGAATAAGTTGTATCAATCGGATGCTGAGATACTCCATTTCAATACGTGAAAGCATCAAAGCTAATAAATCAAAACTCTTTTTGGGTACAAAGGCGGTATTATCGCGTTCGTGCTGTTCGGGCCATGAAGGAGGTACTTGTCGAAACATCGTGATTCTTTGGGTGAGATTGTTAATTGAGGCTTGTAGGTCCCGGTAAATTGGATATCGTCGATCAATACGTTCCTCCAAATCAGTTTTATATGCCGCATCGGTAGCGGGTTCGATATATTGGCGTACAAGTTTTAGTTCAGTTTGTGCCATAAGTCCTCGCCCTTCGACAGCTTTCATGGCTTCGTGCACATAAATTGCTCGTCCATGATCGTCATCATATGGTCCATTCCAGTATTCTTGACTCCCTGGCACGTTCTTCTCACGAATGTATAAGTAAAGTTGCCATACTCGTTCCAAGAATCTCTGAATTTCATTTCGAACAAGTTGTGCACAGAGTTCCCATTTGTTAGAGTATGTTATGTTCTCAGAGTCTATACGAATAGGTGCGGGTTCCCATATTGGTACTTCCATCTGACGATCCGTTATGATTATCGTAAGGTTTCTCTCAGAATTGAATAGTCCAAGATATATGCCCCATATAAGTTCTTTGAACGATTTAAAGTCTACTGGCGGCGCAACGTTGACAGCTCCTATGGCAGTAGCGAGATTGCCGGGTACAACACCTACACCAGGCATATTCCCTTGCCACACACCTCTCAGTTGTTCTCCCATCTCGTTGATCACTCTCGCCCCCTCTCTGTTTCGTTGTTGCAAAAACATGACATAATCACTACTCACGTCCTTTTGCTGAATTTCCAATTGTAATGCTTTGATCATCTGCACGGATGCGACAATGTATCCTTGAATGGTGAGAAGATCCTTCTCCTTGAGATGAACACCAATTTCTCGAGCGGCAGCTTCAGCAAGTTGCCATAGTTTATACAGGTCTGAACGTATAGCTTCGACTTCTTCTCGAGGAATACCACTTCGCTCTCTCTCTTCCCGAAATATTAATTCTCGCCGCACCACAATCAACAACTCTTCAAGCGTTATACTTTTATTAAGCATTACTTTATGTCCCATTGGAGCCCGAGCAGCTTCGAGATCAGCAGCGCAGGTTTGTATTTGTCGTTGCATGTCCAATAGGCGGTTAAAATGCCTATCCCTTTCATCGCGGTATTGCATCTCTTGAGCAATTCTTGATCTTGTTCTCGCCCTTGATGATTCAAGCTCTTCTTGTAAATGCGACAATTCTGCCTGTGGGTTGAAGTTGACCTCTTCCCTAACTCGATCTAGATCCTGTTCAAGATGGGCAACTTTGTCTGATACCCAATTGGACCAACATGGACAATTAGGAAGGGTCTCAGGACTGTTCTGGTCTTGGTGTCCACAGTGATTGCCACCCTTGTAATCATTCCATATTCTCCGGCCATCTTCCGTGTCTGGGGGAAGCATTGTGGCGTTAAGTTGAAGTTGTGAAATGCGGCTTGTTGGTTAAAAAATTGTTGTAATATTACCTCAAAACAAAATAGACTTTTCAGAGGGCGGAAGAGATTCAATAACTGGACCGGACATAAACTCGAAGTAACGAAGCTCAAATTGTGAGCTGTTCAACAAAGAAGTACGGTATTCCGGTAATCAATCGACATATATTACGAACTCGACAAGTACAAAGGAATTGTTCGAAAAGGTTTACTGCCAAAACCGGCAGTCTAACTCCCGATGACAAAGGAAGAATCATCAAAATATACAAATACAGAATAAAAATAGGAAATTAAAAACGGGAATAGCTGTGAAGATGCGTTTTGTATGTATCAACCGATATGAATAAAAACGAAGCTGGGTCCCATCGGAGCCAGTTGTATGAATATCAAGGGTTCTCTGGATGACCTGCTTTTTAAATGAGGTGAATCATAATACGATATAACAGTATACGCCTCTCGCTCTTCTTATCGCCATTAGAGTGTCTTTCCAGCGCTGCCGCTCCTTTTTGAACCCAATTTCCCGGACGTGATGTAAATTGGAGTAAGAATCGCGTCCGTCATGTTAACGACGCATCATAGGCATTTTCAGGAATTCCGAGCACCTTGATCATCGACTCAATTACTCATGGCTGAAAATACCAGAGTTTATGGTGGTATAATTAGGTCAATGTAAGAGACCAAAATCATAATTTGAATCTGTTCCTAGGTATCGCAACAGTCTTTGGGCGATGAATAATAATCAAGATTCCATAGTTCACTGAACATTTAAACACAGCCCAGAAAAGAAGCCTGCCATCTGATGAATCACCCGTGTTGAGTGCATATCCCACGATTTTCAATTGTAGAGAGGGCGATTTTGATAGTCCTCCAGACAATCCTTAAACGGATAATACTTAATAATGGTCTCTTCATGCTGCTTTGTGGAGCCTTTGGCCTTGAAGTGCATCAATTTGAAACCATTAACTCGAGCAGGGCCAATTCTTTCCAACCTGGCTCTAATATCTCCTAGATCATTGAGAACATCATTCGAGCGTCCTCCCGTTGGAAAAGAGAAAAGCTTTGAGGGTCTCTCTGGGAGATTTGACCAAGTGCGCAACCATCCCTCGGGTTTCTTTCCAACAATCTTACTTGGAGGAAATTCCTTTTCGACCTTACGAAGTAGGGACCTTTTGAGCTCAACGAATGCCTGGGATATTATCGGGATATATGCACTGCTCCTGCTTCCTTCGACAACTATTGTAACAGTTTCGGTATCTGCATGGGCATTGTATTCAGGTTCGCCCTTGAAAGGATCCATCGAGAAACTGTCTTGCTCGTCTGCAAGTTGCTTCAAAAGCCAATCCATACGAAATGCGTACTTATTGGGGATTCTTTCTCGAAGTGTGGGCTCAAATCGAGGGTTTAATAGATATCTCCTTGCAAGAAATCCAATTTTTTCATCGGCAAGAACTTTTTGCGTCCATGCTTCGTCGAAATATGCAGCTATAAGTAAATGGTGCTGACTTACAGGTTTAGTCCGTTCCCAAGGGGCTGGTATGTGTTGTGCGCTATGTTCAAGACCGACTAATGGTTTTGATATTGCCTGTGGAGAGTAAGAAACTGACCCTGGGAATATTCTCTTTGCCATTCCGAAGAAAAGTGTGGAATGAAATGTAACGATGTGATGCAATAAAGATTGCTATGGGAAGTTGCTGGTCGGTATTGAATGTAGTCATGGGATATATATTTGATAAGTCAAACTCACGTGATTTGAGAACCCTTAATATTCTTGGCGGACGAACCCAAATATCCCGGCCCTAGCTCTCGACGATTCTGCCGAGTCTTAAATACCTACACGGAGTACAGCCACAGTTGAAGATATGTATGATATGCCAAATGTCAACTCCTTGGCTAGATATCATTCGGAGTCATTCCCTCCTTTCTGATGATAAGTAAGGTATGGTATGATACATGGATACAGTTGGTATATGTATTCATGACCAAATAGGTAACCAGCCTCTAGTAAGCTTATATCATGTGTCTACTAGGTCACTACATTCTCAACGATTGGTACAGAGTACAAATGTCCAATAGTGGACGTGGTGATATATCAATTAGTATTCCACATCTCACTGCAGGAAAAAACAATTCATGTGGTAAGTTTTTGCGGGACTAACATGTTGGTTATTATATCTATTAACTAATATGGTTTATCAGTGAGCGGGTTATATCAATAAATGAGTCACTTATTTTATATATAAAATTTGTTTGTATATAACTATACACTTTCTTTATTTATAAATATAATTTTCTGAAAATTTGATACAAAATATTTGAATATAAAATAATTTTAAAAATCTAATTAGTTTTAAGAAATATGAATTTATAAAATTATTATTATAAAAATAGTTTTTTTATAACAAAAATTATAACAATTTCCTTTCTTTTTTAGAAAATAATGAAATTATTTTATAAAAATTAGATTAATAGAAAATCTATATTTTAATTATTTTTTTAAAATCTTTTATTCAAAAAAATAATAATTGATTATTAAAATATTAATATTTTAAAAAGCTTGATTTAAATAGTTTTCGAAATAACCCATTTATTGATATAACCTGTTCACTAATAAACCACGTTATATCTATTACACGATACTTCTTTTTAAAAGCAAGCTTATCCTTAGCCATTCTTGAAGACTAAAAGTTATATCATTCTTGCTCACAGCCTACTCATCTATAACATGTCCCTTCCCAATGATCTAGGTGTCGTGCTCGTCACTGGGGGTTGTGGGTACCTTGGATCTCATATCGTTAAACTTTTGAGCACAACAACCGCATCTGAAATCCATGTTATTAGTCGAAACCCCAAGACAAATATCCTTCCAAACGTGACTTATCACGAAGGGGATATAACCGACCATCAACATGTAACTGACATTCTGACCGAAATCAAACCAAAAGTCATTATTCACACTGTTTCTCCAAGACACACTGATTCAGCAAAGATTCTCCGCAAGACGAATATCGAGGGGACTCGGGTTCTCCTTGAATGCGCAACTAAGAATCAATATGTTAAGGCATTTGTTTACACCAGCTCGGATTCAACCCTTGTTAACACACCTCAAGAACCAGGTGTCAGACTCACTGAGGATGTCGCAAAGCTGTTCACAGAGAATAGTAAAGAAGCCAACGCTTACTCGAAAACTAAAGCTGTGGCGGATGCAGCTGTTCTTGCCGCAAATGATCCTCCTGATTTGTATACGGCGACTCTGCGTATACCCAGTTTATATGGGAAGGAAAGCCTTAGTACGGGTGTTCTGTTGAGCGCTATCAAGAAAAATCAACACAAGATGCAAGTTGGAGATAAAAAAAGAAAATTTGGATTTATTTTCATTGAAAGTGCCGCCACGGCGCATATTCTAGCTGCGAAAGCCTTAGTTCGTGAAGCTAATATTGATACCAATTCTTATGACGAGAACAATTCTCAAACGAGTAGCAGTGGGAAAGTCAGTGGGGAAGCATTCTTCATTTCAGATGGAGTGAGCATGCCGTACTTTAATTTCGCACGTAAGGTTGTCGCTATGGCAGGTCATCCAGTCGCAGCAAATGAAGTTAAAGCTATTCCATATAAGCTTGTCCTTGGCTTCACTATTCTTAGTGAATGGCTGTACTGGGCTTTTACCTTTGGAACAATAACTCCTAGCTTTCGGCAAGGAGAGATTGAGTATCTAGGTCTAGGGACCGATTGGAGCATTGAGAAGGCCAAAGAGAGATTGGGATGTGAACCAGTAAAGGATCAGGATGAGGTATTGAGAGAAGTGGTTGCATTTGAAGCTAAAAGATTGGGAACAAGGTAGCACAGGATCCAGCCCGTTGGAGCCTGATAATTTGTCGGAAATTAATTTTGTGTGGAAAGATGTGAGGGTCGAGACCTGTGCCGCGGTTTAAAGCTGTAATCATGTAATTGAAAGGCTTACTGTAGAACGTGAGGGTTTTCAGAAAATCATTTTCGGTATGAATGCATAGAGTCCACTTGGTCTTTTTGTTTGAATGATTTTTTTGAAGAAAATTGATTAGATTCAATGACCGACCTCAATACGCCAACGCCAATGACTCAAATTTTTATGTCGTAAGAACAACCTTCCAGCAATCTCATTAAGTGAAAACATCACTTGCATACCTATCATTCTTAATGCCCTGAAACCAATCCTCAACCTCCTCATCCGTCTTAGTCTTTCCGAGTAAATCAGCAGCCTCCGCATAAATCTTCTTGGTCATGACCGAGACACCTTCCCCAACCATACTCGAACCGCAAACATATAACTTTGCACCACCATCGAAAACCTTCTTTAGCTCTTCTCTTTCTTCCCAAAGTCTATCCTGAACATGACGACATCCTTTGCTTAATTCTGGAGCCTTTGAGAACGCATAGTAGAGTTTTACTACACCATCGGCCTCCCATTTCTTTAATTCATCAGAGAACAGAGCATCTTTATCGGGATGTCCACAGCCAATGAATAAGTACGCAGGGGCTAATTTTCGACCAGCAGCTATTTGCAAGGCTCGCTCCTGTACAAAACCACGGAAAGGAGCCAATCCAGTTCCAGCGCAAATATAAATTACTGCAGTATTTTCCAAGTCAGTAGGAGGATGAAAAGCTCCACGACTTGGTTTGACAGAAACATGTACGCGGTCTCCTTCTTCAACAGAAGAAAGATAGTTTGATGCCACTCCCAAATGGCGTTTTGATTCACCGGCCTTCGAGACTGTATCAAGAACAGACCAAGTCAATGTTGCAACACTAGGGTCCTCAAGTGGTGATGAAGAGATTGAGTATTGGCGAACTCTCATTGGTGGAAGCATGGCCAAGAAATCTCCAAGGGATAATGCAGCGGACGGGTACTCTTCGAGTATATCGAGTGGCGAACGACGTTTGAGTAAAATTTCCTTGTCAAAGCCTTCCTTAGCTAGATATTCGATTTTTTCTCTCACTTCTGGCTCAGGTGTACTTGAGGCTATTTTTGCAACGTTCTACAAATGTTAGCATTTGACTTGGCTGAAGAGTGAGAAATAATACCTTTCGAGTTGCAACTTGACTGAGTTCGACGTAAGCCCCAAGAACGTCCCAAACGGATATTGGGTGTCCAGTTGGTAAAGTTGTATTAGGACTAGCTTTGATATGTAACATAGCATCCCAAGGAAGTCCGTATTTTTTCAAAACTCGTCTAATATTCTTGGAATTGTTGATCGGAAGAACTGCCATGTAGTCGCCAGCACGGTATGACATTCCAGTTGGAATTTTGAGTGATATGTGCCGTTTCTCTGGTTCCCCGGGTGCTGTTAAAACCTTGTTGCTGAGAACAATTGACTCACGGACGTCTTGTCTAAGTCTCGAAGAGCGGGAGGTAGAATCGATTTCAATTTCCAAGCCTACTTCTTCTCCACGATCCGCGCTGCTGGTTAATTTGGTCCAGAGATGCTTGTCTTGCCATTCATCAAACGCCTCAAAAATATCTCCAGCGGCAACATCGCCTAATCCAGTATCCCCGATTCTAGTAGCGCCGTTTTTCTCAAATCCACTGTCGAGTAATTTGGGAACCCGGTGGAAAGTCGACACCCAATCATCTGCAATACTTGTTAGTCATCACTTTTATCCTTTCCAGTTCTAGGCAATAGGAACACTTACGATTTCCACAGCCGTAGACAGCATATTTGACACCCTTGAGGCGTTCACTACCTTGTAAGTTCTCCAACCACTCAACGAAATGACAGGCATTATCGGGAGGTTGTCCTTCATAACTAGAAGATATCAAAATCACTGGCTGATCCATGGGAATCTTGTCTACAGCAGCGTCAAGAGGGTCGACTTGAGCCTCGTAACCACGTCCACTGGCTTCTCTTGCAAGACTTCGAGCAAGAGCTTCACATGTTCCAGAGTTTGAACCATAAAAGATAGACATTGGTTGTTTTGGTTTTCCAGAACTGCTCAAGACCTTGGTAAGTTTTTGATCGCTTTCTGATAGACGTTCCTTTGAAACATCAACGTGTAACATTTTTTCAAGGTGAATGGGGTCGATGCCATCCCGCAAACTGGCGTGCATGAAAAATCCGTTTGGCTTGAGAGTCAAAGTTTGTTTGATAAGAAGGTTATAACTTGGATCATCCATCCTGAAGTTGAGGTTTTGCAAGAGCATAGCGACGATGAGAATTGACTCTTGCCAAGCAAAAGGCCTTCCGATGCACCCTCTCATACCATTGCCGAAAGGTTTCCAGGCGTTAGGTGGTAAATTTTTGAATGGCTCGTCAAGCATTCGTTCAGGTTTGAATGAGGAGACATCGTCACCGTAGACAGTAGGGTCGCGGTGAATAGCAGGGATAAGAGCAAGAATAGGTTGCCCTGGCTTAACTTCGTATTTACCGCCAAGGATGATAGGTGACCCAGTTGGATCAGGTAAAGGGGTGACCGTGAAAGCGGGTGCCGTAGGAGTCAATCTCAGTGTCTCTCGGAGACAGGCCTCAATATATGGGAGTTTTGACATGTGATCAATCGTGATGGGTCCCTTGCCGATGACTTCATCGACTTCACGCTGAACTGCCTGGTATGCCGAAGGGGTTTTCAACAAATAATAGAAAAGGAATGAGAGCA